GAAAGAAGGAATACTGTGGATGCAATTGGACATTATTGAACGGAAAATGTCAAAAATGTGATATGATTGATCTTAGCACATCCAGTTTTCAGTATTTCCTATTAATTATTCAGTTCACTAGTCCTTAGATGACAGTGCCTCTTACTCCTAAGGAATTCTTCCATCTAAACTTTATTGTTCACTTAGAAGCCTGGGGAGTTTACTTAGCAACTAATTGGAATGTTACAAAGTATAAATTTTAGACTTTTGGTCACTTCTATTTTGAATTTTATTTGAATAAAAATCATTAAGGGCTTAAAAAACTACGCTGTTCTCTTTCCTGCATCACCTTCCTTTTTCAAAGGGTTGACAAAATTAACATTCATTTTATTTTCTGTGGCTGAGTCATTACTTATTCTCCTCCTGGAGAACTACCAGTCAATGGGGAGTATAAGGACTACATACTACTTACTGAACTCTCCCATGAATGTGGCTGAATCTTTGACTGAAGAAATAGCATAAAGAAAGGGACAATGAAGTTTAACTGTTTATTCTAATTTTAATCACAGGAGAAGATGTCTGAGGAAAATCATAAAATTCATATTTCTTTAATTTCTTAGAGTGCTGTTAATATTGAGTAAAGTAACAACTGACAAGATTCATGTTACCAGCGATTTTGAGTTCTGTTGCATTACACAGAGCATGAAAAGTAAATGCTGGTAATACTATACAGCTTTACTCTCAAATACTGTTCTTGTTTAACACTTTCCAATCACTTGATCAGTTCTATTTCCAATCAGTTCTATTTATTACTTTGTGATTTTTTTTCTTTTGTACTTTAAGATTTATTTCCATACTTTTTCATTCCATTTCAAATTGTCTGTGTTCTTCTGTCCTCCTTTTCATTCTCCATCTTCTCTACCCCAACAGATTCCTTTTGAAGGCTATCCTGTCTGTTAGCCACTCTGCTTCATTCCTGGTCTCAGAACTGCCAACATTTTTATCCTTGTTTGATTGTTCTTAAATCTACATTTCCTCCCTTCCATCTTTATCCTTTTTTATTTATTTTCTCTCCTGTCCAGTGCTTAATTAATCAGTCATCTTTGAATATATAAAAGATAAAACATTATACTTACTGGTTATATTACACCCTATTGAATATGAAGATCTCTGAGGCCCAAAAACAAGAACATGAAATTTGTTTGCAAGAAGGACAAAGAGGTGTGGGGTGTCACAGCCAGTACTCCAAACTGGAATGCAAGCTTGAATGTGAAATGCATTTATTTCACATACTGAACACAAAATGCACTTATGGGCTATTTAATCTTTCAATATCCAGTTACTTTTGAGTGCTTTTGGATAAGTATGTATTAGCTGGTGGTCATTCTTAGGTCTCTAGTGTTAGCAGTTGCAAAGTAAAAGGTTTTTGGAGACAGTCTGAGTTCACGCAGCCTGTAAGGATGAGGCTGGAAGAGTTCTCAGGAATGTCTTGGACCTCAGTCATTTCAAAAGCTTTTGGGTCTTCAGTCTGTTCTGGGCACTCTAGATGAAATTCTGTGGGTTTTAGTTCAACATAGAGAAAAAATCTTGCCTATGTTAACAGGGTTTTGAGTAAGAATGCTACAGGCTCCAGTCTACATGGGACCTTGCTGTAGACATTGTTCCCACATGTCTATTTTTGCTTCTGCCTGATGAGGAAAATGTCTGGAGGCAACAAAACAGTACATGGAGTTGCTGCTATGTCAAAGTGGAAAACCGTACCACTATGGCACTGTTGTCTCTGTTGGTTCCCTACCACATTGCTAACATTGCTGGGACAAGGAAATTCTGGCAGCATTACAAATTTATACCCCAAATTCCTTACATTTAATTTTCCTTTAATTACAAATGTAAGGAGTTTTGGATATAAACAGTTATGTTTACTTGATCTTTTGTCCTTAGTATAATCTGTCGAGCTGAAAAAAACAGAATTTAGATGAATATATTTCTATCTATCTTCTTATATTGTAACACCTGAAACTACACAGTATTTTGTAGAAATATTGTGCAGGACTGTTGGGTCCAATATTTTTGTTCTTAGTTGTAAATCTTTGATGCATCTACATTAATAACCTTTGAAGATCATTTTTTGGAGGATTATACTGGAAGGAACTGAAAATGGCATAAAACATATTTGAATTTTTTCAGAATAGCTTATATTTTCATTGTTCTCTTGTATTTTAAGTTTTCCCATAAAATTACTGAAGAATACACAAAAATTTTGAGTCAAATCCTTTAGAGTTTTTAATATAGAATTGTTTGTACTATAGTTAGATAAATCATCTTTTCAACAGTTAGGTGGGTGGACAATGATGCTTTCTTGCTTAAGCAAGGGCTAATTTTTTTTCATAAAGAAAAAAGTATAATAAAAAGTGCAATTTTTTTTTCACCTTTACTCCAAGACCCTCAAACTTGGAGTAACAAAGGCCATCACTAACCTCCTTACTAATCAGTGCAGTAGCAGTTTTCTATCGAGGCATGGTTTCAAAAAGTGACTTTTGTTCAGCATGTCACTCTAGAGCATGAGCCACTGTAATGTAAACCTTCTGAAGTTTCATGAAGTTTCATAGATCAGGAGTGGATCTCCTTAAAACACGATATGTTAATCAGTTACTACCTGAGCAAATGAGAAATGCTGAAGCTACTATTTTTCTTTTTCTCTAGTATGCGTAAGTCTTTGAGGATTTACAGTTCTAGTCTCTCCTCTGAAGGTCTCTTTTCTTTTGTAATCCTGCTAGAATGTATTTAGATCAAGACGCCCTGAGTAACAAGGTGAAAGGGAACCTGTGCAGACCTGCAGCTTGAGATCCAGATGCGAGTGCTAAAGTCTGTGCTGATGGATGAGGCTTCACCCTCATGAGAGAGAACTAATGTTACTCTCTGCAAGCTGAAATGTAGATTCAGTTCCCATCTCTGCCTAAAGAATCTACTTGCACATCTCTAATATTCAGACATCTGCTCTACCTGATAAACAGCTGAGTATGCTGATATCATCTGCTCTTTCTCTCATCTAACATATCCTTAGCTATGCCATAAAATAAGGAATTATTTTTACAGGGAAAATGGGGAAGTCTCAGCTATCACAGAAAGACCAATGCTCTGTCAGAATATGAAATACGGAAAAAAACTGAATCTCTTCAGGGAGATTATAACATTGAATCTTTGTACCTCGTAGCTTCTGTTCTCGAGTTATATGATGCTGTGTAAGTCAAGGGATAACCTTGAAGTACAACATAGGGGAAAAAAAGAAACACAAGCTGAACAGATTCTTACTGGCATACACCTCTGTTCCTATATAAAAAAGATGGGTATTTCCAGTCAAATCTGACAAACTAGCAAGAGCTGCTGCTGCCAGATTTGTAAGATGAACAGGGGTACAGTTTATTGAGTTGACTCAATATTATGGCTGAGGAATAAGCATTTCTGTGGATGTTCAAAGAAACAGGGTGCGAAATATATCTTCTCTTGATCTGCTCAGTGTCAGCATTGACTGATCTTGAGTGTACTGAGAAACAAGAATTTAAAGATTTGAGAAACTGCACCAAAGCATTCCCAGACTTATTCATGTATCTCAGGAGTTACATAGCAGTCAAATGAGGATAAGCTACATTTTGAAATAATGTACCCTAATCCAGTTGAGGCACCCTAGTTCTGATCCTGTCCAAAGCTCGGATTTATTTTCCATCTTAAAACTGAGATGGAGTATCCTGCAATTGCAGAACTATGAGATATATTAACAGTGTAAGAAATGATTTATCCATCTGAAAAATTCAAAATTGGTCACCAATTCTTCCCTTCTGATATAGGAATAGCCTATAAAAAAGCTGTGCAAAGTTATGCTCAAGATAGCAATTTTCTGCAAGTGTACTTTGGAAGTAATTGCTCTCAGTGATAATTCCAGCTGAGAGGAAGAAAAATAAAAATAAATAAACAAATAAAAAGGACACTGTAATGATCATGATAGTAAATGTAATACTAAACTCACCATATTGAGGAAGAGCAAGTAAAATCATAAAAGAAACAAAGAATGTTGTCTTCGCTTATTTTCAAATATAGCTAGCTTTTTAGCTAGCTAAAAAGTAGCAAGGGGCATGTGTGACACTTTGACATGATATTATGTTGCTAATACAAGTCTGAGAAAAATGAGGTTTGTATAAGTCTGGATTCTGTAACAGGAAAGTGTGACTCAGTGGAGAAAAAGAAGCTACAAAAAGTATGGAATCTTTGTGACTTAAAAGAACTCGCAGAATGAGGAAGAAAGCTTCTTTCTGCAAATCCCATTGACCCAATGGGATATCTTTCTTCTGAGTCTGCTTCAAGTTTTCCAGGGAAAATACACTTGGCATTTGATGCTGTAGTTCAGACAGCATTAGGACATTTCTTAGTCTCTCTCGTTCTCTGTATTATCCTTAAGTTAGATGGCAATGAAGAATATATGGAAGTACAGTTATTGTTCTACTACATAGTAGTGAGAAACCAAACCATTGGCCAATCCATTCTCTTCATTTGAAATATTTTAGTGAACTGTACAGTAAATAATGGGGAAAAGAGTATGTAATATCCCATACAGACATAGGAGCAAACACTAACATCAAATTTATAGTGACGTATGTTTGAAGTCACAAGCTTTACTAAGGCAATTGACAAAAATCAATAATTACACTTAAGTGAGAGTAAAGGTATGTAACGTGTGTAAAGGTTTGTATGTGTGTGGTTGTGTAAAATTCCAATACAAGAAACCTATGAGACAATATAAAATGTGTTTGAAAATGTTTATAGAAAAGAGTGAAATCATTTTGCTCAAAAGAGCAAGCTGACAGATTCAAATGGTCCCTCTTGGGCTGTGTGCAGTAAACATTCAGCTTATCTTTCCAAGAACAATAAAATTTCATGTACTACTGCTTGACATAATTATTTTTACATATCTCCATGCCACTGACTCTCTTGGAAGTTAATCTCATCTCTCATCAATTTTTCACCAGCTTCACTCTGATGTTGATAAAGGAGATGGTTCCATCAAATACATCTTGTCAGGCGAAGGGGCAAGTTCCATTTTCATTATTGATGAGAACACAGGGGATATTCACGCTACAAAGAGGCTGGATCGAGAAGAGCAGGCCTACTACACGCTCCGAGCACAAGCACTAGATAGGCTGACTAATAAACCCGTGGAACCAGAATCTGAGTTCGTCATTAAGATTCAGGACATCAATGACAATGAGCCAAAATTTCTGGATGGTCCTTACACTGCTGGAGTTCCTGAGATGTCTCCTGTGGGTAAGTGCAAAATAGACTGTTGGTGTTGTGGGAAACTTCTTACTACTGCCTTTTAAAAATTTCATTATTTTTTACTGTGTCACACTAAGATATTTAATTATTTATGAGCCACCTGCAACAGTTAGATATTTCAAGACTTAACTGGAAATAACATGCTAGATTAAGTATTTATTCCTTTCAAAATTTTGTGAAACTCAAATAGCTATGTAGGAACACAGCTAAGCATTTTATGATGTATTTCTCATTCCAGTGCCCAGAGACTTTGTTTTATATTTCTTGTTAACAATAATAAATTTCACACCTACAGTATGGTATTCAGAGGTGATAATATATCATTTTATTCAGATTAAGTTTGTTCTTAACAAACTCTTCAAATTCCTGCTGCTACATCACATTTTTTGTAAGTTTTGGGTATATTCTTAACAGTTAGTTTACTGTGAATCTTTCCCAGTGTTGATATCTAGTTTTCTGCGAAGAATATACAAGTGGAAAACACTGGGGTACAGATGAAGATGGTTGATAAAATTCCAATGGATTCATAGAAAAATGGCTGGTAGAAGCTTCAAACCCTCTCAGAAGCTTTTATTCCTAAATTCAAATTAGGGAAGAATTTCAACATTAAGTCCACCATCTCTTCAATTTTAAAGAGAGCAAATGGTTATTTGTTGGCAGGTGCTAGTGTTCCATCAAAAGATGTCTGATTCAGGCCAGATAAGATACATTTTGATGAGTTTTAGTTTAATTTGAAATTATAAATAAGTTTATGACATTAAAAAGCAAAAAATTTTCACTATGTCAGTGGAAATATGTGTATGGGAACTCAGGTTCTTGATCCCCAGTTTAAGAAAGTTTTATGGTGATTGCAATCAGGAATGTATTTGACTGATTTTAGATCATATACAAACTTGATATTCTTAGGTAAGACTGAATTTGCTATGGTGTTCTCAACTCAATTTCTTGTATTTTTGCATACTAAACAATGCCTCTATATTAGAGCTAGAGAGCCAAAAATGACCTTTCCTGCCAGTGCACTGTGCAGCAATCATTACATTTTACATCTGAATCTCACTTTAGGAGCCAATAGAATATAAGTAAAACAGTGCTAATTAGTTTTCTATTTATTTACATTATTGAACAGTGAACATTTGATGCTTTCTCTCATTTAATACTTGATAGTTACTGTTACTGAAACACAGTGTGAATGTCTGAAGAAGCAGGGGTGGTCTTGGAAAGAAGGGTAGACACCACATTTTTTGAGAAAGATCAGGGATGAAGTGCAGTTTTGATATATTCCTGAGAAATTCCTTCAGCACTTGGGAAAAATAATTGGATAATAAAAAATTAAAACATAAATATTCAGCATTTTAAGAATATGTTGTAAATATTAATTTGTTTTATTATAGGATTTGATTAACTGAGCTATAGAATACATAAATAATTAGTATTTTACAGCTTTGTTTAGTTCTCTAAGGAATAATATTTCTATGTATCCTTCCTGGATTAGTTAACTCTCTCCTGTACACATATAGTGACATATGAAAAACTCCTATAAGTATCTGAGGTTTACCTACACTCACAAATCTGTGCCATGACATGTAGTTTGCAATGGAGAAAATAAGGACTGTTTTAAAGGGAGCTAGTTTTGCACATTTTGCCAAATCTGCACTGTATAAATGACTGAAAGAAAGTCAGTCTCATATGGACTGCATTATCAAATATATATTCAGCTTAGGTGGAACACTGCAAAATTACTGCTAACTGTAAGTGATGAAACTGCAGATGAAACTGCCCTTAGTCAACACAGATTTTGACAGTGCATGTCTAAATCTGTGTTGACTAAGGGCAGTTTCATCTGACCAAACTTTGTGACTCTACATTTTAAACAACTTCACTGTTTGTATCACACAACTACTGATTTCTAAATTAGGGATTGCCATGAAGTTCTCGTGTGGCACTTGTCTTACATAGTCACATAGATTCATAGTTTATTCATATAACACAATTTTAAATTAATCAGCTAGAGCATTCATGCAATTTTAAGGAGAAATTATCTTTTATTTAATATGAAATTATAGCATTCACAAGGATTTTTAATTGGATATTAAACAAAATGAAAGAGATCACAGGATTATGAACCCAAATTAACCATAAAGATTGGAGAATCATAACCTTTAACCAAAAGGGCAGTTATGGAAGTAAAATGATTCTGTATTACATTTCACAAATATTTTAGGATATTATCTAAGGCTAATTGAGGTCAATCTTTTTTATTATTTGAAATGACTTCAGGTCAGGTTAAAATTATGTTTGGGTCAGGTCCAATTATACTGATTATCCAGAAAAGAGTAAATACCTTTTTACAGTACATAGCAAGAACCTAAAAGATATAACTTTTCTGAAGATCTTTGTGGATTTTTTTAAAATTCCTTTTACTTAAAAAATCTGACAGCATTATATTTCAAACAAACAAAAAAAAAAGTTGCAAATTATACTTAAAAGGGGAGAGTCCTTGTTATGTTACACATAAAAATAGCTGATGTGAGACACACACATTTGTCTCGATAATAACTAGAAATAAAAATTCAACACCAAACATAGCTTTGTCTTTTTTAATTTTCAAGACTCTCCACACATATGAGCTTTACTTATTACTCAACAAGAGAAATATCTGTCTTTCTTGCTAAATTTATTATACTTGATAGAGATGGATTGAAATACTTAATATATATTTAAAACAAAGAAAAAAAGGAAAGAAAGGGAAGGGAAAGAAAAGAGAAAACCTCTACATCATACTAAGTCTTTGGTACCAGTGTCTAGTTGAGACTGTTGCTCTACATTCACAAACATCTGCTTTGGTTTTTCTGACCTTGGGCTTTATCTGTGAGTAAAGGAAGACTAAAAAGGCTGTGGGAAAGGGGAGGAAGGATTGAGCATAAAGCCTGCCTCAAAATCCATTATCCCCTGTTTTGTGCTCCTTGAGTGGAAATGCTTTATAGGTATAATTGCTTGAGATTTGAATGAATGCCAGAAGCTGAAGCAAGAAATGCCACACAGTATAGATTAAAACATGGCTGGACAATTGCATATAGATATTAAGGAAATATTATGGATACTTTCATAGTAATGGTGTTTAATACTTCTAGTAGTAGCTGATATCACTCAGAAATGTGGCGACAACATAGAAGTGTTTTGAGCACCATACATCATTAACTTCTATTAGTCAATGTCTTTACTAACTGGCTGTATTTAAAGGCTTATATTTAATTTTTTAACGTGGTTACAATATTCAACTTTATAATTCAATTTTAAGGGAGTGTATAATTTCAAAAATTAGCATTTCAAAAACCTGGCAAGCTGATTTTCCCTTAAATGTTAAAAACTGAAGTTACATACATTTCCTATACAGACCTATTTAAAACTTTGATCAAATGTCACGCATTATAATAGTAAGATTTTTTTAAACACCGTTTCTAAAATAACAAACTCAGAGATGTAATGCTGGTCCATTTGAAGAATTGGTAACTCAAAATAAAATGAACCCTCTTATCTTGCATTTATTTATCCCTATCACAGGAAAGGTCGCTATCTGCAACATGTCCAAAACATCTGTGTATCTTGACTTAGGTAAATTAAAGTACAAATATCATTCTAAATTAAAGGTCCTCTCCACAAAAAGTTTTCTCTTCCTTTTGCCCTAATATCATAACCGAAGTAGTTGTCAGATAATTGTGATTCTTTGATATCTACCAATATGTGTTAAAATTTAGGTTAAAAATGACAGCTTAAACATTCTGGAAAAATGGAAATGTATGCCAGCCACCAAAAAGCCAGTTTGTTATAGCAATCATCAATAAAAAAATAAATGGAACACCCTTTGATTAGCAGCACAGATTTTCTCCTCAGTATTTGCTGCCATTGATGAAAAAGTTTATGAAATGGTTTCAAGTAGAATTCATTTTAATTAAGTGATATTCTAGCTTTGCTACTAAGGCCTAGATAGACAATTGTGGAGAAATCCACAGCTGAGAGGAAAATAAACTATTTTTCAATGAATTAACCCTATTTATCTTTTTGGCCTGTGTCAAATATGCAAACTCTAAGAAATATTTTAAGTTGAAGTTGTGAAGCTACAGGCTATAACAGTTTATTAAGGGTAGGGTTGGTGTTCTGTTTACACCTCAGCCCAGCTGCAGTAAACAAGGTTTACTAGATCAGAGAGTTTGCTGGATGGAAAAAAGGTTTGGTCCTGTATGTGGACTGCTAAATGGTACCTCTGAGTCTTAAGGCTGGACACTTGCATGGTAGATGACCACCTGGGTTGTAAGATTAGGGAAAACATCCAGGAGTAAAGGAGAACACAATTTAATTGAGGAGCATGAACTATCCTTTTGAAAAATGATTTTATATTTGGAACTGTGATGCAACTGATCATTTTTCCTTAACTGATAAATTTACTGACTATCAATAGTATCCATATAGTTTTCTTGGTTTCTCTTTCTCTAAAGAAAATTAAGATTTGAATTTAGGATCAGTCTATTACTAGAAAAATTAGGATGTCTCTGTTTTGCAATGATGATTCTCTGAAAGAATGCTTATTCTTCAAAAGACATCCTCTTTCTCTGTAAATATCTGGAAATCTTTACTGTGATCTTTCAGTTCATTACGTTTCCTTGCAACAGATTTTCCTACATGTAGCTTTAGCATACATAGCATAGTTAAAGAACATTTGTTATCCTGCATATTCTTTTAAAAAATATTTTGTGCAAAAATCTCCCACTAAACATAGAACTTATGGAAACTCAAATTTTTTTGAGTAAAAAGAGTAAAGAAATAATAATAACAGTAGCTGTTTTAAAAGTTCTTTGTCTTCTATGAGATTAAAGAAAAAGTAATTAGTACAAAGGAAGTAGATAAGTAATCATCATTTTCTATTGTTGATTACAGTCAAATAGGATGAGTGCAGAAAGATTTGGCATTAGAATTTCTGCCTAATTTTTTTTTGTTTACCTGTTTGTTTGTTTTTGTTTCTAGAGGACATATGTGTTTGAATGGGTAAATCTTCAGTTTAAGAGAGAGCCAATTAGATTCAGACACTGGCTTTTGTGTGTCTCACAAATGGTAGAGTCTTTGCTACATCAGTAGATTCTTACAGTGAACAAGCACTTCTAAGCTTGAAGGATTTCCAAAATTTCCGTGTTGAGACGGCAGAGCCTGTAATTGCTTTCATCTTGTATTGGTTTGAAGTTCTTGAAAGAGGCAAGAGCAAGGAGTAAATGCATAACTGTCTGTGAGGTTTATAAGTACTTTTATTATATTTGCACACATGGTAAGCTTCACTGGCAGGATTTAGACACTTTGCAAATGTGTTAAGCCTGGCTTTGTCAAAGAGTACAAGGTGTCAAATACTCATTATTATATCCTTCTACTCAAAAGCTTGAGAGACTGGAAAGTTTAAAATAGATCTCAGTATGAAATTACATTACAGAGAAATCTGTAAAATCAGTTTGATGTACAGAATCAAAACTCTTAGTTATTTGTGAATATAACACTGATGTATTTTAAGTGTCCTGTAACAGATAAATGACTTGATGGATTAACTAACAGTTTTCTTTTTAAACTTCCCATCTATTTAATGTAAAATTTCAGACTGAGATTAACATTCTCTGTTCAAAAATATTATCGTCCACAAGAAAGAAAAATAGAATTTGAGATAGAATTGCAATCATAATACTTCATCATTGACACTACAGGAAAAGAGGTCACACACGTGGGTTAGTTAGGTCATAACTTAAGTGAATAAATTTATCTTATGAAGGATGACTTTTGGCCAGAATTCATCCCGGCTGGTCTCATCCTTTCTCATCTATACTATTTTATAAAGGGTCTCATTTATTCCTCTCTTTTTCCAAACCTTCAGCCTTGTCCCAAAATCCGTTTACAATTTTCTACTGACCTGAGGACAGAAAAGATGAAGAAAATGCATGATGCACAAACTATATAAGACATAAAAGATTTAAGAATTTTTCTCAAATCTTTCCTGAATATGTCCAAATGAAACAGATCAGAGTGCAACTTCCGTAAAATTCACCCTAGTCACTTATTAGTACTTGCTAGCTTCTTGTGGAAGAGTAATTTCTGGATTTGTTGCTCTCATATTTATGTGAAAAACTGTTTTCAGTTGGAAAATGATCACTCTCTGTGACAAACACTGTTCTCTAATCTTTTGACTAAATCCTGTTTAACAGGGAATTTGATCCTCTGCTGAAGGGGGCATCTGCCAAATTGCTGCAATATTAATTTGCAACTTAACCTCCAAATGGTTCCCTAAGGTGTTGAGTGGAAGGTCTCAATGTTCCAGACAATCTGCCAGTGAGAAATAATAATCCTTTCTGCCTATCAAAAGGTGGTGACCATGGCCAAGGCCCTGGCTCCCAAGTGTTGTCTTATTTTGCTCTCAGCATACATCATGGAAACAGTGAAGAAAAATAAAAAAATGGGAACTGGCAAGGAGAATACAACACATAGGAGGTGGATCTTGAACGAGATTCTCAGAAACATACACCTTTTGCTAAGCAGATAAACATCTTTTCTTACTAATTCCTGTTAACATATAGACAGTTCTTTTAGATACATTATATGGCAGATGATTACCAGAAATAGTACTAAAACATTGCAGATACAGTGTGAAGTGAATAGTTTCTAAAGGAATTTAGTGGGAACTCTCAGATGTTTGTTGTCTGTCTTAGCTGAAATATAAACTCTTTAGTTTTCTCTTGTATATAAGTGTAACTAATTTTGTAGGATAAAATTACATATAGGTGTCTAATATTAAAAGATATAATGCATACATGTGTTATATTTTAATCTCTAGCTGCTTATCATTTATAATTTTAATATGTTGACTTCAAAGGGAAGTCAATATTTAATACTTAGACATATTTCAGACATTGTCATTATTAAGAACGTTTCATTTCTCTCACATATTCTCCATTAACTAAACTCAGAAATAAAGAAGTGAGTTACTGAGTGATATGGGCTTTATTGCTTAAAGACAGAGAACATTTGGGAAGTCCAAATAACTGATACTACTGGTTTACAAATAGGACCTTATTTTTCAGGCTGAATTACAGAAAAAAAAAAAAAGACTATTTATGCAAAAGACACCTCACACTCCTCACACTGTTCCAGTTGTATGTTGGCACTGTATGTTGAATATAGTTTGGATGTGTGGATTTTATATGTACAATAGTTTCTTAAATATTTGCAGGTACCTCTGTGGTTCAAGTGACAGCCACTGATGCTGATGATCCTACTTATGGCAATAGTGCCCGAGTGGTTTACAGCATATTGCAAGGACAACCTTACTTTTCTGTGGAACCAAAGACAGGTAATTTTCTACAAATTCTCTTTACCATAATGCTGAGAAAGTAGAAAAAGTGCATTAAAACATGCTGGGAACTTGTTAGTGTAGTCTCTTGATTAATTGAATACAGTAGAGCTTTGTTGCTCTTTTATATTTCTGAGTAGATTTTAGAAATCACATGAGCTATGTGATAAGCTTACATTTTTGGAATGGAAATTTTTATCTCCTTCTCAATCTTCTAGCTCACTGATCTACTGTCTATTGCAGTATTTCTGAACAATAAAAAATGGAAGATGCTGTGAATATGTTTTATTTTCAGATTGTTCTGTAAATGTACAAATATCACCTTCTCATCAGATTTCCTACACTATAGATTTATGCCATGACGGACTCTTCATTTTTCTTTTTAAAATAGAATTTTGTTGTGGAAAATATATCTTTTCTTCATCAGTTTGAGCATTAAAGCATAGTACTTCCCATTCTCATTTGACACACTATTTTACTGCTACTTTCAAAACATCATTTTTGAAGCATTTTTTTAATTATTATTTTTATAAATTTTGTGAATATTGCTAGCCATAGGAAAATGCAGTCCTTATTCCTCAGTTTTAACAAACATTGTCCTTCCTGTTGTATAGTTTGTTCAGCTGTGGAACCCTCACTACAAAAAGGACTTTGAGTTGCTCAAGCACATGCAGACAGAGCATCAAAGCTGGTAAAAGGACTAGAAAACACGACATATAAGGAACTACTGAGGGAATTGGGGATGTTTTGTTTGGAGAATAAGAGACTGAGGGGAGAACTCCTCTGTCTCTGTAACCAAATAAAAGAAAGTTGTAGCAAGGAAAGCATCTGTCCCTTTTTTCAGTGATAAGTCAAGTTACACCAGGGGAGATCTAGATTGGGTATCAGGAAGAATTTCCTCATGTAGAGGATGATCAAGCATTGGAATGGGCTGCCCAGGAAAGTGGTAGAGTCCCTGCCCCTGAGGTATTTAAGAGACTGTGATATTTAAAAAGCTGTGGCTATGTGAAATGTGGTTTTCTGATGGGAATCAGTAGGTCAGGTTGATAGCTGGACTTTGTGATTCTAAAGGTCTTTTCCAAATAATATGATTCTGTGGCTTGATGATTTTACAGCATCATTTCATACAGTGTTTAAAAAAAAATAAAATAATAAAAAAAAAAATCAATTTGCTTAATTTCAGTCTCCTACATGGAGAAAAATTATCATCTGCATTTCAGAGATAGATAAGCCACAGTAAAAGAGAAACAGAATATTTACCCTATTTGTCATTTAAAAATCAACCAATGAAACAAAAAGAACTGCTGGGTAACAGATCTGAATCCTAATGTTATGACTAAAAGGTCACACTCTATTTAACAGCACCTGAACTTGCAGAAATCAGTGGTATCAAAATATTAACATATCTATGCATTCATATATTTATAAACCTCCACATATTCATGAAAATGTTCGTCCTCTACAGGATTATATAGTACTTTCTTTTTCTCCAATAGATATGGTGTATAGTAGGCTTTTTTTTGTCCCTCCTTTTTCTTTAAGAATTCTTTAAGAATTGAGACTGAAATGTTTTCATACATCTTCATTTTGATGTTGTACTCAAATTTCCTTTATGCGTGATAATTAGCTCCCAAATGGTTGGTTATCATTGCCTGGCAATTTAAATGTAATAGAAAAACAAACGGGCTAGGTAAACTAATGTAGAGACAATAAACTTATGAAATTGTATGTTAATTGTGTTTTTAAAAGTCTTGTCAAATAGGTGAAATAATGCCAGAATATCTGTGAAGTAAATGTTTCAGCCCATGGCAAGTCCTGAATTCAGAAGGGAAGAAAGAAATAAAACTGTGACTAAACATTCAGCAAATATCAGATGAAGAGTTATGTGCCCTAGTGTGCCTCTCCTTTATTTAGATTGTTTATGTTTCTTTTACTGCTGACACTGAATGCTGTTGGAGTATGTAGCTGCCTCTCTGGAAATCAGAGCTAGCAGTTCTACTATGTGCCAGGCATGAAATATTCATAAAGTCATCACATTTTCAATAGCAATATTTATTTTCTGATCTATATCAACTGAACTGAAAGAATGAAGCATGGAGCTTTCTTCAAGTTTACATTTCAAATCAAATAATTACAAATTATATGCAGATTATCAAATGGATATTAAAAAAATACTACAGATACTACAGTATTTCCTTTAATAAATCAGGACATCTTAATCACATTAATGTTTTCAAAATAGTTATTTATTAAGCAAATATTTGGTGAAATAAGGTAATTTCATATATATGCAAAGTGTGGCATGATATCAATATTAGTAAGTCTTAATGTGGTGAATGACTATTCAAGACACTGTGAAATAATTTTGAACTTGGAATCTTAAAAATGAGTACGGAATATTCTGTTCTTAGCTGTAAGACAATGGGAAATCAAACACAGAAGAGTATATCTTCCAGGAAAGGAAGTGTCTTGCAAATAACTATTGTTCAAGGAGAAGTAAACATGGTCGTGGACCCAAAGAATGTACTACAAACTAAAACATGCCGTTTTTGGACTACTTAAAGTAAGCTTGTAGCATAGCAGTTTATTTCCTAGTAAAATATCGTAATATCAGAGTTGAAGTTATTTCCTCCCTTTCTGCAGTCATTGGTCTGCTGTTACATTTTAGGGTCAAACTCAGTTTTCATATTAATGTATTTACTTCTGCAACCATTGACATAGCTTGTATTGCTGCAGGCATTATCAAAACTGCCCTTCCAAATATGGATAGAGAAGCCAAGGACCAATATCTACTAGTTATTCAAGCAAAGGACATGGTTGGGCAAAATGGTGGTTTATCAGGAACAACATCAGTAACTGTCACTCTGACTGACGTTAATGACAACCCACCCCGCTTCCCACGACGTAAGTTACATGAATTGTAGCATTATTTCTAAACATTGCTATTTCCTTTACTTTTTATGTTATACCTAAAGAGAATAGAAATACTTGACTTCCTTATTAAATATTTGAAAATCTCTCAGAGCAAGTTCTATTGTTATTATTATTATTGCTACAGCTACTACTACTACTTTGGAAAAATCTTTTTTCTTTACCTATTTCAGATCAGTTGAAATGAAGTTATATAGAGCAGGTGCATTTATTGATGTACTTTGCTTCTTCACTACAAATAAGAGGACAAAAAATAAACACCTTAAAACTTTTCTATCTTTTGTCAGCTGGACTTCAGAATGAACAATTTCTTAACTTAACTGTTAGTCCTTCCTTTGTCACTTCAGCAGGATTTGTCTTGTGCATGGAGTGTTTCCTAAGAAACTGTTGATCTGTAAAGTCATCTTCCCTCAACTATCTCTAACCAAGGTGGCTATCATCCCAACCAAAGAAGGGAATACACAGTTGTAATGTCATAACTATTTATAAGTAACATTATGTCTGGTATGATTTTTATTTTATTATTATCTTTTAATTTACACTATCTTATAAAGTCCTCACAAAATTAAGTTAAAGTAATGGCGGAATATATTAACTCCACTCAACTCCAATGATATAAACCAGACTTCCTGCCACTAAGAATTTGAAACAACGATAGAATAACAGAAGTTGTTTTTGAAAGTGAAGATATTATTGCCTTTTGACTGCAGATATCTTTTTGACAGCATATATACGGTTTTATATTTGAATGAAAATACTGGAATAATCAAGATTGCAGGTGGTGACTTTACTTTTAAAGAAATGATTGTACCTTGGTTTCTAGTCATATTAGGAGTGTAAGCTCCCTAATCAAGATATAGATTTATAAGATGATAAGGCTGTGTACCAATTTTACTTAATATATTTGCTTTATTTCCTTTATTTGTGGAAAACAAGTTGTATTTTTTACCTTGGAAAATTGCAAGCATTTGTATGACTAAATAAAATTAAATAAAATTTATGCATCTTTGTCTTGGATTTCTCTCTTATAGAAGAAAAAAAAAATCCATCATAACGAAAACCTAGAAAAGAAATTTAAAAAATCATATTGTAAACTGAAACACATTTTCTGGTAGCCTGAGTAAATATTCAGTTGTACGAATATAGATTACATTTTAGCTTACAGACTCAGAAATCTCTGAATTTGTTATATTTCTGAATTTTGCAGGATCATATCAGTATAATGTCCCAGAATCTTTACCTGTGGCATCTGTAGTGGCCAGAATAAAAGCTGCCGATGCAGATGTGGGACCCAATGCTGAAATGGAGTATAAGATTGTAGATGGTGATGGTTTGGGAGTATTCAAAATTTCTGTAGACAAAGACACCCAGGAGGGAATCATCACAATTCAGAAGGTAAGTCTGAATTTTCTGACTGATTATGTTTGAATCTGGGCAAGATAAGGGAAGGAAATGTGAAGGTACGTGTGAAAATTGTGATTTTTTTGTTGCTGGTTTTTCTGTTTGTTTGTTTTATTGGGGTTTATATCTGTTTGTTTCTTGGTTTTTAAAAATTCTCCAGCACAAATAGAAATCTCAAATTTTCTCTCATTTCTTTTTACATTAAAGAAAAATGTATGTCTTACAGTAGAAACGTAAGGTCAGAATCCAAAATGAATCCAAAGCATAACTTTAAGAAACAAAAATTCTCTTTGATTAATCATGCTCTGTACAGGAGATATGCAGTATTATCAATATTTATTTATTGGTAAGACTAGCTGTTTTGTAAGAAAATATTTTATTTCCTATATTAATCCGCAGCCCCAAAATATTAAAATAAATATTTTCCTTTTAGCTTTCTATATGTGCGGTTAAGTAACTAACAATTTAAAAAGAAAAACCGTGTTTACATAAAAATATTAAAACTCAGTTTTTTTGCATTTCTGCAACACATTTTAAATGGTATCCTTTTTTAAAATAAGTGTGGACTGAAATATTTTGGCAGAAAATTTTAGTTTTGAGGAGAATGGTAAAACAAAAAAAGAAAATCTTGCACACAAGAGCACGTTCTGAATATTTATCACTGGCAATGCTAAAAGTACATGGTCCTATCTCTCCTGAGTTATTTAATATCCTGTAAAATATAAGACTGATTTAGTATTTTAGAATTAGCATATTCCTGAACAAATGCCTATTCTTATAGTTTGTTTGATTATTTGGATAATTTTTCTTACAGAGGTACTCTTTAATCTTTGCAAATTTCATGCAACAATTTTCTTTTTTTTTTTCCTTCCAATGTACCAATATCTTTCTAAAGTAATATAAAATTTCAGTACCACATCTTCTTTGAAATAAGTTAATACTGCATGATGTGGCAAAGTAACAGGCTAATTCTCTGATGCCGTGAACACCAGCTGAGAGCTGGTAAGCATCTGTAGATGCCAGTGAAAATGCAGGACATTCAGCAATTTTGACAAGCTCTAATAAATGTAATATAAATCATTTTTTTCAAGGGAAAAGCAATTGTCTGAGTCCTCTTGCAGACTGCTAATTCCTTCTTAGCGCATTTGAAATACAAGTGATGAAAAATTAATCCATTCTTTGTACAACAGCCAAACTCAGTGTGGATAATTCAACTTGTTCATTTTAAGATTTTTGAGGAAAGATCTGGAAGTGTTATGGCCACCCGAGAGGGAGGGTGTTTATCAGTATCACAGAAAGCAACGCAGACAGTTGGGATTGTCAGCAGACTAGTTTGGGAGCTTATAAAAACATTTTAATTTTCAATGTATAGTTGTAGTCACCAATGCTTTTTCTGGGACTCTCTTAATTCTAGTGCACCAATAATTGTCCAGCAAAAAAATAATTGTCATTTATTATTTCTATAATCACTTTCATTAGGGAACTGAAATGATTGTTTCAGTACTGAGTGTTTGTGAAAAGAATTTCCCTATGATATGGTACCTGACTGCAATTTTTGACCGAAAGAAAAGCCCAAGGTTTGCAAATAATATTTAAACCTAGTAAATGCTGCTGTGATTTGACAAAATAATTTAGAATTTTTTCTTTGCAACATTACAAATTTTCTCTCATTTTCCTACCATTATTAAATACATTACCCCTGTTGTATTCAAACATAAATCCTCATGCTGAAGTGCACCTCCCAAATCTCTAGGTGCTATTAGGTCTCTATTTGGATTCCAGCGAACTTAAATACCTTGCTCAAGGATGAAAGATCTTTCCTATTAACCTTGTAAATAAAATAGTACAGAGTCGACTGCAAGGGAAGAAAGAAGTGAAGAATCCAAGCACAGTAGCCACAAAAAACTGCAGCTTCTCCTCTTGAGGGCAGGCACATGGAATACCATTAATGAGTGTTCATATGTTAAATGGGCTTCAGCTACAAAGGCTAGGCTGACAGAGTAAGCAGACATGATCCTTGCATGATGATGTGAGCTTTTTAGTAAGGAATGAGGGAAGAAACCGTAGCATGATAACTGTGTAAACATTTTAATACCTGGCACATGAAGTTCTAAACACTTCTGAGAGCCATTTGTTCTTTCCTTTTCATAGCCCTTAATTCAGCTGAGACACTGAGAAACAGCTCAGCCTCCAAATGTGTGCCCATCATTTTAAACTTGTGCATGTCTATACAGTCAGATATTTTCTTCACATCAAGCAGAAAGACTTCTGAAAAGGTATACTTCAGTTCTAAAAGCAAATATGCTCTTTAACTTTGCATACTTTTGCTGCAATCACACACACAAAGGCCACACATCCAAAACAAAGTAAGTATGACTGAGCATACAAAGGCAATACTCCATCCACTTTTGTGCTGGGTGTTGTGGAGAATGTTTGGCAATTGTTTATCAGAGCTTCACACGCAAGCTGAAGATTTTATGCTCTGTTCCTAGGATAACCATTTTGAAACTATTTGAAAAGTGGACTCCCACACTACAAATTAAGTTTTTATTTTAACATGTAAGGAGAAAAAAAAAAAAAAATTGTTAAAAAATATGTTAAGATTTAAGAATTCAGTGAGAAAATCGGGATTCTTTGTGCTCCGAGTGGAAGAAATATTAAATGAAAAATGCCCAAGGATCAGCAAAAACTGCAATGTATGCATTTATGTATAGAAGGTAAAAAAATTCAACAAGTTTGAAAAAGACAGGTATCAATGACAGAGATAATATAAAAGATCAAATATCTAGGAATTTCCCAAAATTACTTGTCTGTAATGTCTTGACTAATCTGACTAATGTAACTAATTAATGACTATAGGTTTTTGGAGCAAAGGTTGAGAAAGTTTATGAATGCAGTTTGAATAGGTTTATCTATTTATTCATTCATGTGCCTTTGCATACATTTTTCCTCTGTACCTCAAAGACTCTGAGACTTTAAAATACCAAAAGACAGGAAAAAAAAGCATAAATGTTTTTATTCTAACACTGATATTCATTGAAATATGTATTTTATTCTGCTTTCATTAAAAAAAAAAAAGTATTGAACAATTTTACTTGTGTTAATGTAATTAAATATATAATGTCTAACTTGCACTGTAGTACATAACAAAATTCATTAACTGACTTCACATGCAAATAATTTATCTAACATGTATCTAGGAGGACGTATCAAACATGATAATACATAATATTAATAAAAATAATATATAAACAAAATCTTCAGACTTGTCAAATGAAACATAAACTCCTACTTTACTTTTCTTCTGTACAGAGCAATCTAAATATGTCACCTACTCATATTCCATGCTAGAGTTCTGATGTTGCAAATAATGTAACAGCTTGGTTATTCTCTAACTCCAAATTATTTCTTCCTCTTCAAACCCCAACTCAGTACACACAGGCACACTTTAGTGAATTCCTAAGTAAAGCTCAGTTAGGTGCCTAAATTACCATAAAAGAGGATTTAGAAGAACATCAATATTAGATGATCTTTTAGAAAAAATTCTCTCACAGCTTCTGAAATGGAACTGGATATTTATATTCTACAACACTATTTGAAAATTTTATCCTCATTTACAATGAGACTCAATTTTCCGTCTGTAAAGTAGGATTAATTCCTTCCTATGATTTCATTTGTAATTCTCATTCTGCTATAAATATTCTGTTTGTAAGGATGCAGATCTTTTGCATGTGAATAGTATATCATTCCACAGTGATGAAAGTTTTTGGAAGGAATTTTTCAGAAGATATTAGATTTTATTTTATTTTTTTTAATGGGTTTTATTGGTCTTTACTGTAACACACTTAGAACTGAAGAAACATTTATGGAAATGAATAATGTAACAAATTTTATAGTGTCCTTGTAAAACTATGTGTATACAAGTTCAAAATGAGTTCTTGTTGACTGTTTAAAGAATCCTGTTCATAAGAGAAATAAATAAATTTTTGGCTTCATTACTCAGCAAATTAATATACAGACCATATAGAACTTCCACAGCTTTACTTCTAATAATAGTGTACTGAGAGAGACATCATATATGTATGGTTTCAACTTCATTCACAAACTTGCAGGCTACGGTTAGTCTTCAGTAATAATAATAGCTGAGTTGCAAAATATCTTAAGATAAAATCTGATATACAATATGCATACTCCAACACCTTTATCGGTTACTTGGTGCTTCAAGTATGATAATGATAACTTAAAAGAACAAAAGGCTGCATGGTACTTTTTTATTATACCTATCATGTGGAAGTTTTTGAAAGGATATAATATCTGATTCAATCTGTTTGAAGCCTATAGAGAAATTTTATGGAGAACTTCATTGAAAAAAGTCTGAAGGCTCTGCTGAGAGCTGTCTTGTCTTACTGTAGCAAATGACAAGCATAAAGATTTCCCACTGTATTGTTATTGCTCACTTTATCTTCATTTCTTCCCCAAATACATCGCTCTACTATCACTATCACCAAACCATTTGAATGTAATCTAGAAAAATGTGAAAATAAGTTTTGCAAGTACTTTCTCATAAAAATAGGCTGCTAAGATATTATTCTACAATCTGACGTTATTTTAAGAGTAATAATGGCAATTATAAAAATGAGGTTTTTATGTGTAAGCCTTTGACTGAAAAGCTATCTTTCTGTTAGTGTTAACATTTCTCTTTTTTTTCCAGGTAAAAAATTTGCTTTCAATTCTATATCAGAGTTTACAGTGTAAGAACTTGAGCCTACCATGGTTCCTTTGAAAGATAATGCACATTTGTTTGATGTACCGCAGTTTTCAATATAAAACCTCCACTAGACTTAAAAATGGGATTTTCACCTCTGTACGTTATTAAAAAGTTACCATACAGTAAAAAATGAACATTACAAAAATAGGTTTCCTGTGAAAGATAACTTCATATCCAGTCTCTGAAATATAGATAACTTGTTTTGTAATTTCCTTCACATAGGAAA